AGCCAAAGACGTCTATAGACGTCTTTTATGTTTTTCAATGCGAGTGGCTTGGGGAACGATCGGCTAAAGTTTGTCCGTAAATATCAGGCTTCTAGACAGAGTATGTACTAACAAATTGACCCTCTAGGGGGCAGTGCCACTTTTGATTGGAGATTAGCATAGATTGTAGGCAAATAAAAACAAACGCAATGGTTCGCTATGCGAAAAATGGCGCCGGTGAGACGCACGTCGAAGAAGAACGGAATAAGGTAGAAACAATTTTTTTTTCCCGATGAAAGAAGAGAGTCTACTCTTTCTTTTGGTGTGTTCGGTGTTTACATAGTCATAGCACAAACTATTCTGTGGCTCTTGAAAAATCAGTCAAAATGCTCAAAAAACTCTGGCAGTGAGCGACTTTCTGTTCTGAAAATGGCTGGCAGTCAATGAGTTAAAACTATGACAAAGCTGTGGCAAAACTATGACAATGGCAAAGTAACAAAATAAAGAATAACAAGACTGTGGCAAAAAGCAAACCTGGACTGACGTGGGGGTGACAAAGAACAGACGAAAGACGAAAACGACGAAAAGGACGAAAACACACTCGCACAAGACATGGGAAACGAGGACTATTTAAACACATGAGGGAGGGGAACCCCAGGTAAACACAATAGGTAATCAAGACAAGACGAGACACCAGACATTCCCCCAGACGTGACAAAAACAGATGTCCAGGAGGAAATATTTGTGTTTAACTCATTGACTGCCAGCCGTTTTCAGAACAGAGAGTCCCATACTGCCAGAGTTTTTTTGAGCATTTTGACTGATTTTTCAAGAGCCACAGAATAGTTTGTGCTATGACTATGTAAACACCGAACAAACCAAAAGAAAGAGTAGACTCTCTTCTTTCATCAGGAAAAATCATTTGTTTCTACCTTATTCCGTTCTTCCTCGACTTGCGAGGAAGAACGGAATTCTGTGGAGATGTCTGAGAAGTTGTGACCGTTTTTCCCCGGGTTGATTCCTAAATCCTGAGCTCTGTGTCTGCTACCAGACCGTGTCCAGGCGGGCGCGGAGGCACTCCCCATCTCTGGCCGGTGGGGAGAAAGACAGAAAGAGCCAGGTTTGTTTTGCCTGATTCATGGTCAGACGTTTTTTTTTTACAAAGGCTTAAATCTGCCAGCAGGTTTTTTTAGACGGCCGAATTACATCAAACATCGAGTTAAACGTCAGATTTTCTACGAGAAGATCTATTTTTTTAACCCTTTAAAGCCTGATCCAAGAATAAAACAAAACAGAAAATTACTTTTTTTTTGGTTTTAAGTCTTTATTTGGCTTTTTAACAATATATGTAAAAAGAAAAAAACAAAAGTACATTTTTAATATTAATGATTTATTACTATGCGATAAGTCAAGATTATCTTTTTCATTATTATTTTGTTATTTTTTTATTATCATTTTTTGTGTAGTCTTCTGCCCCCCTGAAAAAACAAAAATACATTTTTAATATTAATAATTTATTACTATGCTATAAGTCAAGATTGTTTTTTGTGTAGTCTTCTGCCCCCTGTTATCAGGTGTATCTGATTGTGTACAATAGGATTTTGAGCAAAGTTTTTTCCATTAAATTATGAAAAAGGTGTCAGACGCAAAACATTTCAGAAACCGTATCAAATATGTACATTTGGCATTACAGGGTTAAAGATCAGAAATGGGTTTCTGACCATAAGGGAGCATGAAGCTGCCCTAAAAATGCGTTTGCATGTGATTTTTCTGCTGAAATAAGCTGCTGCTCACTCAGAGATCAGGTCTTTACCCCCTCTCTCCTCTGGTGTGGAAACAGCTCTCCCTTCAGGACAAAAAGACGGAAATGGTTCGAATGAGGAAGGTTAGCGGGTTTCTGCTCACCGGTCTCTCATCCCGCATCGCCCCCATGTGGAGGAATGCTTTTTGTCTTATTTTGCTTATCTTGAAAGCTTTTTTTATTATTATATTATTTCATGCTTGTCTGTGTGGACACATCATCCCAACCAGAGCAGTCTGCCCACCACTGACCACACTTAAGACAGACTGGACGAAAGCTTTCATTGTTTTTCACAACAAATAAATGAGAAATTATCGTCAAACCAAAATATTTTAGTTTTATATAGAAGAGTTTGAATTCTATATTTTTCTACATTGGAAAAATCCCAATATTACCAAGTGAATTTGTCTAATT